TGGTCATGGTGTTTACCACAGCAGCAGAAAACCAAACTGTAACACAAGTGGTTATTGTAACAAATCCATGCCAAAAACATACAGACAACCACATGTTTAAAGCCAATTAAAAGAATAATGGCCCTTTAATTTTTTTACCAACAACCAAGAACAGGCTCATGCCTCAAAGTCTAGCATCTTTAAAGGCGAAAACCACAATTACATCAAAGCTACATGAGGGTCAGAGTAACCTTGTAATATTTATTTAGGCGAAAGCATAGTAGTTATTTCAGGCACAACATGACAATTATTTTGACTTAAGTCTTCTTCAGTTACTTAAGTTTATATTCACATGATTATTTTGTTGATACATCTGAACCACGCTCAGGGTCGTGGAAACCTCAAATGTGTTGCCAAGGCAGATGTGGCTGTTGTGAGGGTAGAGAGCTGCGAACTGTCTAAGCAAACACAGCTGGAGTTGGGACACGGTGACATTGCTTTAGTCGCTTCAGTTAGAGCTACCCAGTGTATGTCCTGGGAGCTGAACTTGAATCCTCTGGAAGAGCAGCAAGCACTCCTGGCCATTGAGCCCCCTCTCCAGCCCGTCTCCTTAACAATTACAGATGCCTTGGCATCCGCACTCACCTTGTGTGCAGCTTCAAGCTCCACCTTTGTATCCTTCTTCACCACTTGCTGCTGGTCCACCGCTGTGGACCTGCGTAAGAGTGGTGAGTAATAAACATGTCACAGACTGAATGCTACCTCGCCTCAAAAATCTCCTCTGCCAAACACATTACTATGTGTGTTTATATGTGTGTTCACACACACACACACACACACACACACACACACACACACACACACAAACATGTGCACATGAGACACCACGTATTTGTGAAGGTCAGAGGAGAACTTGTAAGTCGGGTCTTTCCTTCCACCAAGTTAGTTGTGAAAAGAACTCGGGTCCTCCGTCTTGGCAGCAAGTGCCCTAACCTGCTGAGCTGTCTCCCCAGCCCTCTGCTTTTAAATCCAGCCTCATTCAAGCTCTTAGGATGTGAGCAGAATGTCTCCAGATTCTTTGCTATAATACAACCTGAATGTTCCTAGTCTGTTCCCCGTACAGCCCTTGTTCCAGTCCGAAAGCTCCTGAGCTGTGCCTCCGCTGTCCTCACTCCCACCAAAAATGTCTATTAAGCTCTTCTTAGGGAATCCGGGATGTTCTTTAGCTTGTAGCTGCAAACTTTTCTACATTCCTCCCACAAACCAGTCCCCAAAGCCTATAAACCACATGGTTTATCTCGGCAATGGCCCCACTTCTTAGTACCGATCTCCTACATGACTACTTTGCTCAGTGATGTAGCAAAACGCCTGCCCAGAAGGAACTTAAGGAAGGGAGGGTTTATTCTGAGCTTACTGACGGCCATTACATTCCATCGTGTATAGAAAGCCAGAGGCCGGCTGGTCACATTGCAGCCACGATCAGGAAGTAGAGCCTGGCTGGAGAATAGCAAGACCTGTCCCCAGTGGCCCACTCTCTCCAACTGGGCTCTACCTCCCGAAGGTTCCATAAGCTTCCCAAAAAGCACCCTCCATCCAGCAGGCAAGTGTTCGAATGCATGTGCCTTTGGAAGACAGTTCATATTCAAGCCACAAGGCATCATTCCAAGAAAGTCAGTGCTCTGTAGTGTGAAGACCTGATAAGTTTATTTATCCTATTGTTTTAACTTTGTCACACTGTGAGTAATTTTATAGATCGCTACTTTCAATGCCACGCCAATGCCACAATGTCCAAGCCCACTGAAGTTGGTACATCCCTCCAATTAATTAACCAACCAATTTAATTTCACACTGCAGAGCTTTGGAATAGCTACTGTTTACTGAAATCACCACTGCAAATAATGAAACCGAATGTTTAAAGCACCAACATTTAGTATTGTCAATTAAGCCTGGGCTAAATGTTAATAAACATAACACAGAGTGGGAAACCATCTGCTGGCTCTGAGCGGGTGGGGGATTTCACCACAAACAGCCGGGTCTAGACAACTCAATTGTGTGACGGAAGACCTCAAGGAGCCAGGGGGTGGAGTGAAGCAGCCACTTCTAAAAGAGGACCCTATCACCAAGCTACTGAAAGGGGTCAGCGGACTTGCTGCACGGTTTCAAAAGGTCAGCCTGTTGAATAATCAGCAATGTAGCAAACACCTTGCTTTTTCAAACCTTGCAGATGGCTTGGCGTGTACTTATTTCTCAGCCATCCCTTCAGCCTCTGTCTCAAGACGGACATGTGTCGTACACACAGAGAAAGCACATGTGCAATTTTCTGTGACTGCATCCCATGGGCGCTGGCAAAGTGCCCCATTCTGAAACTGCCATTTCGATTCCTGAGGGTTGGCTTCACCTTCCCTCTGGTTTTGCTGTTTGAATCTCCTGCTAATGCAGAGGGTTATTTGCCAGTCAGCGTGCCGGGTTCTCGTGACTCGGTGTTATTTTCCTAAAACAACTCCCCGGTCATTAAACCAGCAGATCAAAGAGGAATTCCCGTTCTTGTAGCTTCGGGCTTCTCAGCCCTGCTCACTGCTCAGACTCCCTTCACCCATTTCTTTGCTAGGATATCTAGAAGAAAGGGAGCCTTGCTTTGTTCTCTTCGGATTCTGGGCTGTCTCCTACATGCTCTGTCTCCCTGAGGCTTCTGACGTCCCTAACAGCTTCTCCCATGGAGGCTGTGAGCCCAACAGTCTCACTCCAGAATCACTCACTCTGAATCGGGTGGGTGGGAACGCTGGGGAATGAGATAGTCACTTCTTTACCAGGCCCTGGCCACAATAGTCTTCTCCCTGTTGTCTCCTAGAATCCTAATTTTCTCCTCGGTCGGTTGTTCCAAAGACTATATTTCAAAAGTGGCTCTTACATCTAAACTGGTGTTCAAAAAGCAGACAGTGCGTATGCAGAGGACTGTAATATGGGTACCTCATGGGGCAGTGCATGTGTGGATGAGCGTGTCTTGGACTGTGAGATGGGTACTGAGTGAGGCTGTACAAGTGTGTTCACAGACATCACTTGCACGTGTGTGTGTGTGTGTGTGTGTGTGTGTGTGTGTGTGTGTGTGTGTGTGTTATGGGTATTTCATGAGGCAGCGCGTGTGTGGATGAGCATGTATTGGACTGTGAGATGGGTACTGAGTGAGGTTGTGCATGTGCAGATGTGCTTGTATGTGTATGCATGGGTGTGTTCACCGGCATCATTTGCACATGTGTGCATATGTGTGTACAGCAGACACAAGACTGTGAGTCTGTATGCGCACATGCACAAGGCTGTGCTTGGCCACATGTGTACTTCTGCTTCTTGGCACAAACACTCCAGCAGTCCTGGCCAGACAGCCTTGACAGTGTGCCTCTTAACAGCAGGAGGTATAGCGAGCCTCAGAATCAGACTTCCCTGACTGCTCAGGGATCCCAGTGGCTAGATTCTGCCAACCTGTGCTGGCCCCCAAGCAAGGTCATATAATTTAACTGCCAGATTTATGGATTATGGAACCCAGGAAATTTGTTTTGTTTAGTTGGAGATAGTATCATGCTATGCAGCCCAGGCTGGCCTTGAACTCAAGATCTTCCAACTGAGACTCCCACATGCTGGAATTCTGGGAGTATGCCACCATGCCCAGCTTCCAGTGAGCCTCCTGTTTTGTCTTATTTGTGGCAAAATTTTCAGACCCATAAAAATAAAGAATGTACATAATTTCTCCATGTCCCATTCATGGACAATTATCTCATTTTGCAAGGTTTCATACCTCACATCATGCAGAAAGAAGACCTCTGCTGTGGGTGGAGACTTGCGTTCTCTGGGCTGGCATGTGTGGCCTGAGTGAAGTTACTAGCTCAAACATTCTCACCACCAGGTTGCTCTCCATAGCACTTTGTGTGCCTGTCATCTATAATTTCCTCATATTTCTGCCAGTATCTGGCACCATCAAACTCCCCACACCATCTGTGGGTTTCAATCTCATTTTCTAAATTACTGCTCACCATTAAATATTGATTTTCTGTACATCACCTGTTCATCTGGGGCTGGTCTGAATCAGCATGGTCCCCACAGGCGCCTGTGTTTGAACACTTGGCCCTTAGTTGGTGGAACTGCTTTGGGAAGGATTAGGGGTGTGGTCTTGTTGGAGAAGGTGTCATGGGAGTGGGCTTCAAAAATCATCCCCCCTTGTGCTCTCTGCCTCATACTTTTGGATCGGGATATAAGCTCTCAGCTATCCCTGCAACATGCCTTTGTTCCGCCATCATAAACTCTAACCTCTGAAGCAGTAAGCCCAATTATACACTTTCTTTCATAAGTTGTCCTGTTTCATTACAGCGACAGAAAAGTAACTATGACATTGTCCTTATTGAATTGCTATTCTTTAGACAAACTGTCCACAGTTCATAGTGCAATTATTTATATGTCTTTCAACATTATTGTAATGCATTTTTGTATGTTGGCAAAACTGTCTGGATTTATGGGTTAAAATGATGTGACATGGGGGCTGGAGAGATGGCTCAGCAGTTAAGAGCACTGGCTGCTCTTCCAGAGGACCTGGGTTCAATTCCCAGCACCCACATGGCAGCTCACAAGTGTCTGTAACTCCCATTCCAGGGGATCTGAAGCCCTCATACAGATGTACATGCAGGTGAAACACTGATGCATATGAAATAAAAATAAATAATTCATGTTTTGAGTGTTGTGACATATTTATATGGACTCATTGACTAAGACAAAGGGGCTCGCTCATGCTTCTCACTCATTCCTCCTGCCTAAGGGCAACTTTGATAAAAATTCCTCCTTCCTCTCCCCTGCCGTGACAGCCCTGGGCCCTTCCCCTCTCTGCTCCTATGATTCTGGTTCTTTTCGATTTTGTAAGTGGCAGTGTGTGGTATTTTGCTGCAACTCAGTGGTTTTACTAAGCATAGTGACCTCTGAGCTGCATATGACGTGACTCTTGTTTCTTAAGCCTAACAGTAGTCTTTTGTGTTCATACGCAGCCTCTTCTTTATTTCTGCATCCATTGATGGACGCCTAGATAGTTCTGTGACTTGGCTATTGTCAGGAATGCCACAAACAGCATATCCATGCAGGTATGTCTTTGATCTCCTGATGTTTTCAACGCATTCAAAGAGTTTATTATTTAAGTCAGATTTCTACAGTTTTTCATTCTATTAATTTTAAAAGAATAATATTAATAACCCAAAAATCAAAACAGACAAAAAAAGATATATGGGAAGACAAAATCATGCTAACCTTAAATGTAGCCCCTTTACTCAGTTGACTCCCACTAGGTCCCTATGAGAACAGTCTTGTAGCTTTTTTCCTCCCTGACATGCTGATTTTTAAATTCTTTGGATTTTCACCCAGTTGCTTATATCACTATGGTTGTGTGCCCAGTCAGTGAGGTCACTATGGGTGTGTACCCAGTCAGTGATATCACTATGGGTTGTGTACCCAGTCAGTGATGTCACTATGGGTGTGTGCCCAGTCAGTGAGGTCACTATGGGTGTGTACCCAGTCAGTGATGTCACTGTGGGTGTGTACCCAGTCAGTGATGTCACTATGGCTGTGTACCCAGTCAGTGATGTCACTATGGGTATGTAGCCAGTGAGGTCACTATGGCTGTGTACCAAGTCAGTGACATCACTATAGGTGTGCACCAAATCAGTGAGGTCACTAGATCACATAGTAATTCCATTTTTAACTTCTGAGGCACCTCTGTTAATGATTAATCTTGCTTATCAACTTAACTGGATCTACGTAAAGCTAAAAGATAAACTCTGTAAGGAATTTTTTTTAACTTATTCTTTGAACTAGGGACCCTCCCTAAGTGTGGACATTAGGCAGCCAGATGAAAGGTGGTCTGAAAGGGAAAGTTGCTATTTGCCTGTTTGCTTTCCCATCATGCTGACAAGTTCATCTATTCTGTGACTGCTGCTGCTGCTGCTGCTGCTGCTGCTGCTGCTGCTGCTGCTGCTGCTGCTGCTGCTATAACTCCTCACTGACTTCAGAACTCAGCTTCTTTGGCCTTCTGATATGGACTGAACACCAGTGGCCTTCCAGGAATCCTCCAGGCCCCTGGTGCCACACTGGGAGTGCCGAGGCACCCCACTTCATGAGGAGCTCCAGGGTTCTTGATCTCTCCAGTGTTGAGGACAACAGTACTGTGTAAGCCATTCCAATAAATATCCTTTTTACTATATGTTCACTCTTCCAGTTCTGTTTCTCTAGAGAACACTCACTAGCAGGGGACATAAATTAATGGCTAGAGGGTCAGCCTAGCACACCAAAGACTACAAGCTCAGTCCCCAACACCACCTAAAGTCAGGTGATATGGGCACAGAGGCGTGTAATCTCAGACACTCCAGGTGCAAGTTGGAGGACCAGGTCTTCAAGCTCATGCTGAGTGTCTTGGTTACCAGTCTGTTGCTCTGAAAAGATACCATGACCAAAGCAACTTTTATAAAAGAAAGCAGTTAATTAAGGGGCTTGACTGAAGCTTCAGGGGTTAGTCCATGATCATTGTGGTGGGAAGCAGACAGCCATGGTGTTGGAGCGGCAGCCGAGAGCTTTACATCCTGAGCTGCAGGAAGAGAGATGCTGGGCCTGGTATGGGCTTTTGAAATATCAAAGACCACCCCCAGTGACACACTTCCTCCAACAAGGCCACATCTTCTAGTTCTTCCCAAACAGTTCCACTAACTGGGGACCACACATTCAAACACATGAGCTTATGGGGGGCATTCTCATTCAAATCACCACATTGGGTTTTTCAGCCAGGTAGTGGTTCCCTGGGCTGTATTAGGCTCTGTCTCAAAACCACAAAAGTTAGAGAACCAGCTACAAAGAACCTTCATGTTCTTCAGCCATGGCTCTGTTAATTCGCATTCCTGTCAACCATGTCCAGGCTTACCTTTGCCCTACATCTTCCCCAACACAGTTTTTGTTATTGTTGTTGTTATAGTCATTCTGACCAGTATAAGGTGACATTTCACTGGGATTTTAATTTTCATAATTGGTAGATGTCTACTTAAGTAATTTTCCCTTTTTATTGAGTCATTTATCTTATTTTATTGCCTTAAATTTAATATCACTCCTGGATAGAAGTCCTTTATAAAACACATAATTTTCAAATAATTTCTCTCAGTCTGTGGCCTATTAGGACTCTTTGATAAATTGAGATAGTTTCGTTATTTGCTTAATGATGTTACTTCAAATGAGTTTTTCACTTTAATGAAGTTCATTTGATCCATTTTTTTCCTTTTGTAAATCAGACTTCTGAGACATACCTAAGTTATCTTTGTCTAGCCCAAGTCATAAAGACTTTTCTTGAGTTTCACTCCAAACATTTATGGACTCAGCTCTGATTTTTAAGCCAACAGTCAATTTTGAATTAATTTTTATATGAATTAAATGTTTAGACATCACTTTTTGTACGTGTCTGTTCCTCTATTTGTCCCCATCCCAGTCACTGAAATTTCTTTCTCTCTCGAAGAGCCTTGACAGCATTAAGGAAAATCAGATGAGCATAAATGTGAGGATCCACGCTTGGTTCTGTTTTGCTGCTTATCTGCATAACTGCTTCAGAGACTAATGTTGGATGTTGCTCCTTATGTAAATTTTGCTTCCCTTTTAAGTTAAAGATGAACTCAGTATGTGTCATAAAACATGGTATTACCAAAAACATGGTACAAACAGAAAGTTATACCCACATACAAGAAGTCTCTTTACAAAATGCTCCTCAAGCAAGCCTCTCTGGGACTGTGCAAAAAGACCCTGGAAAGGCCTGGGAGACTGGAGAGGATAAAGAAAAGTGGGGGGCAGAGAGAGGTGGGTGGAGAAGAGTTGGAAACTAAGTCAGTCTTTGTAAGGCCTCCCTGAAGGGCTAGCCAGTGCTGTGACCAAAATGGTTTAAGTACAAATAAAAAGCAGAAACAAGAAACAACAACAAAAATCAGCAGAGAGAGGCAGATCACACTGCCGAACACTAAGAGGGCCACAGCCGTCTCCGCCATGAGCGTGGCCTCTTGCACACTGGCTTCCTCGCTCACTCTCGCTCTAAAACATGCAAGATTCTCTTCTGCTTGGAGCTAGTAAGGAGTCCTGCATGGATAAGTCACTGAAGGAGGAGCAGTCCCCTCTGGCCTTGAGCCCCACCCCCATCTTCCCGACTGCGGCAGCCCAGTAGCACTCAGCCTGTGAGTCTCGACCCCTTTGGCAAACCTCTATCTCCAAAAATATTTACATTATGATTCATAACAGCAGCAAAATGACAGTTATGAAGCAGCAGCGGAAATAACTGTATGGTTGGGGTCACCACAACATGAGGAACTGTATTAAAGGGTCGAAGCATTAGGAAGGTTGAGAACCACTGCCTCAGAGGATTCTAGAGTCAAACCAAGGCCTTGGCCAGTGCTTTCCTTGTGTGACCATTTGTTAATGTCATGTGACATCTACTAAGCAGATGGAAGCCATCTTTCTGTGTGTGGAAGATTCTGGGCTGGCCCAGCAGGCTGAGGAGGTGGCTCCCTCAAGTGGATCCAGCCTCCTCCAGATGACAGGGGCGGGGCGGGGTAGGAGGAGAGGCTGGGGTGGCAGGTGGTTGGAGATCTGCAGCTGCAGCCACCACCATCTCAGCGTCCCCAGGCAGCTGGAGGGACTGTTCAGTGTTGCTTTCTTGACTATTTAGAATCACAAAGGTTTTGACTGAGAACTGAGTCCTCCAGCTTTGTTCTAGAGTATTTGCCTGCTGTGGGTATTTCTTTCTGTGTTTCCACAAGAAAGCCTCGGGACCTGGTGGTGTTCGCGTTGAATCCGCGGAGGAGCTGTTGTCTCTAACGGAAACTTTGAGCATCTCTGTATCTCTTCTGACCCCCTCTACTTCCTCTCAGAGATGTCTTATACTTTCTTTTTTTTTTTTTTAAAGATTTATTTATTTATTATGTACACAGAAGAGAGCACCAGATCTCATTACAGATGGTTGTGAGCCACCATGTGGGTGCTGGGAATTGAACTCAGGACCTCTGGAAGAGCAGTCGGTGCTCTTAACCTCTAAGCCATCTCTCCAGCCCTGTCTTATACTTTCTTTTGGAGTTTTAGTTCTAAGTGTTTAACATTTTGATGATATTGTGTGTAGAATTATCTTCTTAATTCCCTATCATTGAATTTCGTACATGGCCCTTGTAACGTGCAGCCTTGCTGACACTGTTCTTAGAATTCTCTGTTAAATCCCTAGGACTCACATATGTGGGCATCGCAGCCATGCTGTCTGACCGCCTCTGCGACTGTTTCTCTCCCTCTGACGCGCTGACTAGAACTTCCAAAGCCACACTGAATGTGAGAGGTCTAAGGGCGCCCTTCCCTTCCCTTTCCTGGTTATTAGGAAGGAAATACTTGGCCTTTCACCTGTCAGGGACAGTCAGCTATGGGATTCTATAAACACTGCTATCAAGTGGAGGAAATCTGCTCCCTTTTGTAGTTAGTCCGATCTGTACTACAAACGACTGTTGCATTTTTGTCAAATGCTCATTCTTGTCTATGAATTTTCTCCCTCTTGTTTCATCAATATTCCGAATTAATTGATTCCTAATTATTAAACCAACCTTAAATTTCTGGGATCAATTGTACCTGATCTTGTATAAAAATAATTCTCTTGTTATGTTTCCTAATTGATTTATTACTGTTTTACTGAGAACATTTATAATGTTTATGGAGAATGTTAGTTAGTCAGTCTGCAATCTTCATTTCTTGCGAGATCTCTTTCCAGTTTGGGTAGCAGAGAAATACCAGCCTCACAGAATGAGCTCAGAAATATTCTCTTCTCTACTTCCCTGAAGAGCTTGTAAAGAATTTGGTATTTATTCTCTAAATGTTTGGTAGAACTTGACAATGAAGTCTTGGGCTTGGACTTTGCTTTGTGAGCAGGATTCAGCTACCTCTGACGAGAGTGAGTGGTAAAGAATCATCCTGTGGGAAAGCTAGAGGACATGGGGGAAGGCAGCCATACCGGGGCTGGGAAGCTTCTGGTTCCTCTCAAGCCTTATCTGGTTGCCGCTGTGAAAGGAGTATTCAGATGTACAGTCCTTAATCAGTTGGCATTTAGTTAAGGAGAGGTCAGTTATTTGGGTGGTCTGAATCAAGCGTTTGGAGCCTTAAAAGGAGTGTCTGTGTCTTCCCAGAATTCAGAAACTCCAAGCAGTGGGGTAGAAAAACAGTCATAGACTCTTTCTGCACTCTGGACCACTGTGCTCACACTATTGATGCTCATGTGATGACTTACCTCATTGGTGATGCTGCCGGCTGTCCTGTGATTGCCCCTCACCCAAATTGTCCTAGGACCAGCACATTGTCTATCCTGGGGAGTATTTTGTATTTTGCTTGAGAGAAACATGTATGTATTCACTGTGCTTAGGCGAAGTGTTTCATGAATATTACTTGGTTCAAGTTCATAGATAATGTTATGTAAAATGTCTGTGATCACCTTGTTTTTCTGTGTATTTGTTCTGTCCATTATTGAGTGAGGCATGAAAACCTTCAAATATTATTGTTGAATGGTTCACTGTTCCTTCTGCTGGAGTTTGCTTTCCGGATTTAGTGCTTCTCTTGTGAAGTGCATAGATGTTTATAATTATTACTTTCTCCTAATATTATCATTCCCTCCCATGTTGTCCTTTCATCTCTAGTGAAATTTCTCATCTTGAGACCTATTTTGTCTGAGGTTACTACACTCATGTCAGCTGTCTGATTGGTACTAATTGTGTGGTGAATTCCCATCACTTTCTATTACTTCAGCATCCATTTTGAATAGATGTTGGATGTGTTCTCAGCCACAGCCATGAATCATGAAGCCTACGTCTCTTTGCTCTCAACCCAACTAGACCTTGTCTCAAAAAACTTCATCAAGTGATGCCCTGGACTCCAAGAAAGGATTGTGTTATGTCCATCTCAGACACCCAAAAATACAGTGTTATTTATTTATTTTCTTTTTTTTAGATTTTGTAAGTGTTCATATGGATGTGTATGCAGATGGGCACACTTACATGTACACACACCATGGGGGCCAGAACTCAATACTGAACATCTTCTATTGCTCTCCATCTTAGTTTTTGAGACTGGATCACTTCCTGAACCTGGAGCTCACACACTTGACCAGGTGGGCTGGCCAATCAGCTCTAGAGATCCACCCGTCTCTGTCTTCACCCC